GGGCCCGAGGCGAGGCCCGCGGCCAATGGGAGGCCGCGGTAGAAGTTTGGGCGGGGGGAAAGGGGGGGGAGGTGGGCGGCAGCAACAGCTGTCCAATCGGGATCAGGTGGGCGTGTCAGGGAGATGATGGTGGTGGGCCCCGGCCGTCGGCCTCTGCCCCTCCCTGTCGATCCCAGTCACACGCACAGCTAGCTAGCCATGGCGCTACCGGCAGCTCTGGGCCTCTGACTCCTCCCCTGCTCGGCCCGGGGACAGCCCGGTCCCACCGCCGATAAAGAAAACGGAAAAGGGGGAGGGAAAATAGTTCTAGCGTGCTTGGGGGCCCGGCCCGCGCTGCCGATCCGGCGCCGCGGTGTGACCCCGACGGGCGCGATGATGGCGCCCCCGTGCCGTGCCCGCGCACGCCTCGCCGTTCCCCGGTCGCCGGGTCAGCCCCGTCGCGCGCCGCGGCGGCGACGTGTAGCCCGCCCCGCTTTCGTCGGCGCCGCCCTGCTCGCCCCACTTGCCCGGCCACGGACCACGCCGGCGACCCATCCAACAAATTCGTTCCTATCCGTCCGTCGCGGCCATGCCGAGGGATGGGCAGGAAGTCGGTCCTATCCGGCGGCCGGCGCACCGGCGCATGGAAATTGTTGCGCTGGGCGCGGCGGGGGGACGTGTGAGCGCGTCCGTGCATGGGTGCGCGTGGGATTCCGTGAGGTTCCGCTGGCGATGGGCCACGCTGCTGCGAGGGTGAGATGGTGGTTGGCTGGGTGGTGGGATCGATTCGGTGGATGTGACCCGGTGTGGTGGTGCGCGCACATGCGACGGGGTGGTGCGGGTCAGGGGGCCTGGCTGGCTGGCTCATCGATCGGGTTGTGCTCGAACCACTGCAGGGGAAATGCGCCGGAGCCCGCGTCAACTCGGCGGTCACACCGATCACAGGATAAGGTTGACGGACGGACGAGATGTTTTTTCTTGTTCGATAAAGATAAAGAAACGGTGGCGCTAAAGCGATTGGACGCGGTGGTGTCAGATCTATATAAAGAAGATTTTTCTTTTTAACATTCGGAAATTGTGGGTCAGTACGTAAATATGTTTTCTTTGATTTGAAGGCACATAAATATGGATTGACATATTTATTGGAACTGGAATATTGATAAACTTAGAGGGTGTTTGGTTCAGGGACTTTTTAGTCCCAGAGACTAAAAAAAGTTCCTAGAAACCAAACATGAGGGACTGTTTTACAATGATCAGAAAAAGACTCTACTGGAGAGTCTTTTTTGATTAGGACTTCTGAATCAAACACCACCTTATTTATTGGAACTGGACACGCTTACCTAGTGCGATTAATGCTGCAACATCCTCAATTTTAATTTATTAGCCCCCTTGGAGAAGGAAAAAAGTAAGGTACTAAGGTCATAGTTTGACCATAATTTCAACTAATAAAGTAAAAGTTAAACATAGAAGAAATAATGTTATCGGAAATTATTTTCAAATATAAATTCAACGATATAATTTTCGCAAACACGCAATAGCATTTTGTTAGTAAAACCTATGATCAAAATTTGTCATAAAATACGAGAGATCAATAAACCAGGATGGTGATAGTATATGGGAGAGTTTTCAGACAGAGAATAAATACTTTGTGAGTCGGGTATGCGTGCTTAATGGACAAAGTTATCGGAAGACTGCTTGTAATGGGGTATCATAGTTACTATCATGCGTTCCAGCTAAGCAACTTTGATAAGGTGACATAAAATGAAATAAATAAAGATAAGGTTTAAGTATCATACCATGATAATGTATCTAATAAATATTGTAATCCTATATATTTTGCATGTCAATAAATTAGGTCATCTAAGATACTAATCTGTGATATGCATTATTGATGTAGTATAATACACTAATATTATATGCATAATACTAATGTATGATACTACCCGCTACGGGTAGCATTTGGATGTCCAAGTCGAAGAAAAATGTTCATTCAGAAATAAAAATCAGGCGTCAGTTAAATATTTCTATGGCTTCAACGTGAGGAACATTAAGATATGTACAAAACCCTATTGCTCGTCTTGATTGCAAAAAGGAAAAGCTAATGCCATCCGACTATTTCTTTGACGTGTGGAAAGTAGAGCACGGATTTCGAGTAGTGCATTTTGAAGACCGAGCTCTACTGAGGTCTTAATTCTGAAAACTTCAAATTTCAGGTTTTTAGTTTCAAAATATTCTAAAAATATACACATGTACATAAGGATGTAAGGGTATCTTTAGAGCAGACCCTCGAACCGTTTGTAAGCGTCTGGACTACACTGTCCGAACGTCTTGAGCTATTCAATGCAGGCCTGTATCGGTCTGCCGAGTAGTCCAGATGTACTTTTTCCG